TAGGAGGGCCATCCAACTTTTGGGCCATGTCAAACCCTAGATCTGGAGCACTTCAAGCCTCTCTAGATCTCTTCCAATGGAGGAAAGAACGTCCTCTAACCGTGGCTCTGATACCACTAATGGAAATCGTGCAAATCTGGAGAGAACTATTTAGAGATTAAGGCTGACGACTTCAACGGAAAATTGCGTGCAGCTCAGGTAACTTCTATAAATGAGCTTATACGCGTTGGAAAGGTCTTAATCTCTAATTTCCAGAATGGTAAAGCACAATCATAACCAAGATCTGAGCCGCCGATTATGACGGAATCAGTGTGAGGGAATATTCTGGTAATTTGGCTAGGCAGCCATGAATCACCTAGTAAAAACGAGAAGGGAAGCAGTTAGATCTGGAAAAGTTCGAGTATGTGATTGTCAAAGACCACCAGCCCTCGCCCTAGACCAAACCTCAAGAATCCCAAGTGCCACAATTGCAACATCAAAGATGTTGTAGTGGGTTTGAGGTTGTATGGGTTGGAAAGGTAACGAGATCAAACCGTGCCAACCAACCCAAGTTCTTTTGCCCAAATCCTAATAGCCCACAACCAGCTAGAGCAAACTACACCACAGAACACTACACATTTATCAAGGCCCAGGGTCCCGAGGTCGCCTCAGCGTAAGTGCAAGGGGTCAGGATGTCAAAAACGTCTGGGTCACCCTCAGAGACTAGCAGCATGGAATAGAGAGATGGGACGGGGGCTGGGCCCCAGACGTCCAGGTGCAGGGTCTGGATTGGTGCGGTGGTAGGGCGAAGCGAGGAGTGAGGAGCATGGCACAGCCGGCCCTCGACGCAGGGCGTGCACGGCGGCACAGGCAAGAGAGGGAGGGCAGGAAGCAATGCAAGGAGACCTAGGACGAGACCGTGCTGAGACATGTGACGCAGACGCGGGAGTGAGGGGTGACCTAGGCAGTGGTGCCACAAAAGTGACAGGTGAGTGAGCGACCGACACGAGCAAGCTGCAGAAACCTGGGTAGACCCAAGACACGGGGAGGACGCGCCCAGCGGGGGGGAAGCAGTGTCCAGCGTAAACAGGCCAGACACCGGGTCCCGGGGGAACCTCGCAAGGGGGGCACCTGAGGCGGCCTCGGTACAGACAGCGTACCTCTCGTGACCAGGGAACATAGTGGTGACGCCGAGGTCCTGAAGACAATCGACCCCAATTAAGAACCTGGAAAACGAAGGAATGTGCAGGCCTGTAGGTGAACCCGCGTGAACCGCAGAACAAGGAAGGGTAGTGTTGCTACGGGCAGCGACAGGACCAGATGAGGGGTCAGCAAGTGCGACGGCGACGGGCGCGGCAAGTGGCGTGGGTGTGGCGTGGTCGCGAAAGAAGCAGGCAGACGCATCGTAGTCAAGTGTGAAGGACAGCGACGTGGCAGCCGAAGGAGGAGCGAGTGTAGAGCCTAGGCTAGACAAGGCAAACGGTCCTACGCCTGATGTAGCAGGGGAGTCTGTACTACACACAGGTACTACGCCTAAACTAGAGAACACAAGGTAATAAGGTCCGTACACACTAGAGGCATCAGCATACATAGAATGCAGGGCAGAACTAATCTGATCCATGTGTAATTCAAAGACAGGCACACCGTGGCGCAGCAGACTGGGCTAGTCAAGGAGGTCCGGGACTGGGCCGAAACGGCGACGAAAGAGGTCGTCGAGGCGGCGGAAGCAGCGGGCGGTCAGGTGTGGGCTGCGGCATACAGTGCCGCGGAGGGGGCCGGTCTGGAGCTGGTACAGGCAGCTCACAGCACCAAAGCTGTCGGTAGACGCCAAGCTGCGAGGACCGCCACCGCGGCCACCACCTCCAGAGGCTCCTGGCCACCCCGGCGGGAGGCGGGCCCACGGCTGCTGCTGCGGCTGCTGCTGCGACTGCTGCTGCGGCTGCTGCTGCTGCTGCAACGGCTGCTGCTGCGTCGGCTGCGGCTGCTGCTGCTCCTAGACACCAGCCCCAACCCCCTTGTCAGAACCACTGTCTTCGCCACCACCACCACCACGCCCTCCCTTGGGGCCACGACAGCCCCGACGCGGTCACAGCTGTGGGGACACCACACCTGCGGTCTCAGCGGTAGGGGCAGCCATAGCAACTGTGGCTCAAACGTCAGCGTACGTGCACTGGGAGGGAGCACAGCCCTGAAAGATAGGGACTGCTGCAACACCGCTTGACTGAGCGATAGTGCGCTGGCGAGTCTCGATCTCAGACAAGGAGGTGACAAAGGCAGTCAGGGTGAGGTCACCGGGGTGCTGGCTAAGGAAGTGGTCGCGGGCAGTGGCTAAGCGGTCCAGAAGGCGCTTGGCAATAAGGTATAGGGTAGCGTAGAACGGTGGGGGAAAGGCAGTGAGCTGGGCGTCAGTGCTAGCAGCGCGGTAGCTAGTCTCTAGTGCACGGAGGTGAGTGGCTGGGTCAGCGATAGTGGGGAAAGTGGTAAGATCTGGGAATAGCATGGGGAGGATCAGGCGGCCAGCATAGGTGGAGGCGGGTGTGGAGTGGCGCTCAAGTACCGCATCTAGGAAATCCTTGGCGTTCGCGACAGCAGTGAAGCGCAGACGCTCAGACAAAAGGAAGAGCATGACTAATGGCTAGCTGCGCTACGTCATCGTGGGAATCTCTGACAGAACAAGAAAGCACAGCAGCAGAAAAGGCCTCACGCTCAGCAGTGGTGGGGTCAGCAGGGAGGGGAGCAGGCGCGGGGGGGCGGGGAAGCAAACCATCAACATGCCCAGCCAGGGAGTGCCCATCCTGGCGCTGACCTGGCAAGTGACGGCGGAGATTGACAAGCCAGGAGGCGAAGTCGATCGTGTGCCCCTCCGCGTCCAGGCAGAGTATGACGTCCGCCATCGTGCAACCTCAGCATTACAGCTCCACAGCAGCATAGCGACACAGCGGCACTGCAGCACTGCGGCACAGCGATGCAGTGGCACTGCGGCACAGCTACTCAGCGGCACGGCGGCACAGCGGTGTGGCGGCAGAACTCTCCGGGAGGAAGACCAAGCGGAAGGCCAAGCGGGGCGCACAGGGCCCAAGACGCGTAGTAGGCCGGCGAGGTGCGATGGGCCGGCGGGGCTCGAAAGGGGCGGAGAGGCGCCAAGGGCCGGTGGAGCGCTAGGGCCAGGCTGGGTGCTAGGTCCAGCGGGCGCTCGAGGGGCAAGCGAGGTGCTTAGGGCCGGCAGGGCGCTAAAGAGACCAGCGGGGTCGGCGGAGCACTAAGGGCCGGCGGGCACGCGAGGGGCCGACGGGGCACGCGAGGGCCGGCGGGCCGCTAAGGGCCGGCGGAGCGCTGAGGGCCAGCAGGCACGCGACGTGCCGGCGGGGTACGCGAGGGGCCGGCGGGGCGCTAAGGACCGGCGGGGCGCTAAGGGCCGGCGTGCATGCGAGGGGCCGGCGGGGTACGCTAGGGGCTGGTGGGGCGCTAAGGGCCGGCGGGGCGTTAAGGGCTGCCAGGCACGCGAGGGGCCGGCGGGGTATGCGAGGGGCCAGCGGGGCGCTAAGGGCCGGCGGGGCGCTAAGGGTTGGCAAGGTGCGTGTGGGGGGCCGGCAGGGTACGCGTGGGGCTGGCGGGGCGCTAAGGACCGGCGAGCACGCGAGGGGCCGGCGGGGTACGCGAGGGGCCGGCGAGGCGCTAAGGGCCGGCAGGGCGCTAAGGGCCGGCAAGGCGCGTAGGGGACCAGCGGGCGCGAGAGGGGTCGTCGGGGCGCTAAGGGTCGGCGGGGCACTCTGAGGGGAACAACGGGGCAGTAGGCTAGGGCTAGGGCGGAAGCCGGTTGGGGTTGTACCCTCTATGAACACAAACCTATCCAGCCTATAACTTCTACATATTAACATATGTATAAGTTGACTAAAACATGCCCTTTCTAGCATACTGTGCTAGGTTAAAATCCTACCAACCCAAAAGAATCGCCAAGGTTCAACCCTATCATCTCTGCTCTGAAAAAAAGCCAGTTCTGATCATTCAGGCTCCGAAAAAATTAACCCTGAAAAAAAAAAAACAAAAAACAAAACAAAACAAAACAAAACAACAAAAAAAACAAAACAAAAATAACAAAAATAACACACAACTTCCAAAACCCGACCCTGAAAAACGGGGGCTCCTGCTAGGGGCACCCTGAGCCAACAGCTCCTCAAAATCCAATCTGTAGCCCTAACCTACACTCGCCAAAAAAAACCTATGGGTCCGCAATAAAACCAATCTTATATCCGGGGCATTTACGGTAGCTTACTATTACTACTACCATCCAAGTTTGCAGCTGGCATGCAGAGGTGAATATTGAGTAAAACATCTCAAAGTAGAAAAGTTGAGTAGAATGAGACATGCAAGTTGATTTTGTTCAAATAGTTGTACCCTCTAAGAGCATCCACCTATCTAACCTATTATATCATATACAAATATGTTTGACACACCCGCTAGGCCAGATGAGGGGCAGTGCCTAGAAATCGACACACAACTCAGGGTGGCACTACTAATCCAGCCTCTGAGGCAAGGGTCCGAAGAGCAGTCAGCAAGAGTACAAGCTAAACAAGAGCAAACCAGGGCAGTACTACTAGACCAGCCACTGGGACATGAGCCACAAGGCCAGTCAAGAGAATATAAAAGGAGTACACAATCAGGGTCCTAGCAACTGAGAAGCTACATGAACTAGACCAAGCTGTACACAGTGCCGCTGATGATCTTTAGGCACAAGCGCCTTCGTAAAGATATCAGCTGTGTTGGCACCGCAGGCCAAGCGTACTACGCGGGCCAGGCGGCGCTGCTGCAGCTCGCGCAGGAGGAAGTACCGCAGCTGGATGTGCTTCGCTCTGCCCTCAAGTCGAGGCTCCTGACACAGGAGTATCATGGCCCTATTGTCAGCGTAAAGGACCAGGGCAGAGCTACGCCGCTCACCTAAGTCAGTGAGTAAGAAGGTCAGCCATGTTGTGTGATGTCATCATATGCTATCACATTCTGTCTGCCTCCCATCCCATGTTTTCAACTTGCATGTGTGGTTTGAATGTGCAAGCATTTGTGTGGTGTGTGTTCTGGAGTTTGGGAATGTGTTATGTGTTATTTTGTTTGAGCAGGTATTTGTGATGATAGATCTTGAGAAGATCTTTTCGACGCAACAAGAATCTCTTCAATTGGAGCAACAACGCGAAAGCTATGAAGATTCAAAGTTCATGAGCTTGCGTTACAATTGCGGCGGTTACTAAGTGAAGTTGTGGGGTGACTCTATATGGAGTTGGGACCTTTGGGGGTTTGGGAAATTTGTCACTCTACTGTAACAGCTGCAAATAGGTTGGGAACAACCAAGCTAGGTTGGCAAGGGTGGCCAACTTGGATGGATTGGTTGGGAAGGGACAAAGGTCAAAGTTGAGGTTCCTATAGGGAGGGAATCTTTGTGCTTATGGGGTTTCCTTGGTTGGGGACTCTCTTGGGACCTTCCCTCTCATCCCTCTCTTCCTATCCCAACCTTTCTCTTGCTCCTTCTAATTCCTTGTGAGATTCTTGAACTTTGATTGAACCTTTGAGATTGAGTTAAGTTCTCCTCCTACAGCTTACCCCCTAGTGCGTCGAAAGCCATAGCGTCGCGAATACTTTATCAATCAACATGATTCAAATTGGGAACGGTAGCTGAGATTAAGAGCTACAACATATCCAAGTTTCGCGACATTCCAACGGCTAGTTGTTTGTCGACGTCGTTTCTTGTGAAGACGACTTTTCTGTCCAGAATTTCGGATTTATATTTTGAGTAATTCTAGCTCCTAAGTTCACCTAGACTCTGTCCTTAATCCTAACAAGTGGTATCAGAGCTGTATTAAGGACGTTGAGAGGAGTCTACAGAAGTGTGAAGACCCTTCTAGACCCACCATGGCCTGTGGGTGTGCCTAAGTGGTGTTCTAAAGGTTGGATGTGTCTTCCGCTAAGGGAAACTCTGCCGAAATTTCGTGGACGCCGACACTTGTGAAAATATCGAGGGAGCTGAGTGTGGACAGCAAAGGGGGGCTGAAATTCGTCATTTCTCAAGGAGAAGATGAATGAGAGAGGAGGAGATGCTAATGGAAGAGGAGCTGTACCTGAGAAGACAAGTGAGCCGCCGCCATCAAAAGTTGAAGCTTTGGATGGCTCCAACTATGAGGAATGGAGCGGACGGATGAGGAGTGCCTTCAAACGCTACAAGCTACTGAAGATTGCTGTTGGGGAAGAGAAGATGCCGGAAGAAGGCGAAGCACGTGAACGGTGGATTGAGAAAAGCACGGTGCTTTTCGACCTCATCCTTCAATCGGTCAACAAGGAGATGTTCGAGCACATCAAGGATCTTGTGGAAGCGGATGATTCGGGTCCAAGGGCGTGGAAACTACTACGCGATGTGATTCAGCCCAACACTCTCCTGATGGTGATCGTGCTCGAGAAGGAACTTGCTGCCATCTCCATGCGACCAGGGGACGATGTGAAGCCGGTCCTTGACAAGATCAAGGACACCTATGCAAGGATGGCAGCAGCGGGCAGCAGTGTATCTCAGCTGCAGCAGTGCACCAAGATCATCTCGGTGTTGGACAACTCTTGGGACAACCTCATCCCCACCCTCAACTCTCAACAAGATCAATGGACACCTGAGTGGCTAAGGCAGCAGATTCTGCAGGAGGACTTCCGCAGACGCCATGTGGGAGGCGGTGCTGCCACTAAGACTGCTGAGGGGTATGGAGCTGCAGGGCGCGGCAGAGGAAGAGGGGGTTGGAGAGGCCGAGGCCGTGGGAGGAGCTTTGGCAGAGGTAGAGGCCGAGGTGACTATAATGAGGGGCATGGGAGCTCTAGTGGCAGGGGGAGTACCAGAATGGAGGGCACCTGCTGGTACTGCAAGAAGATCGGGCATCCTTGGTTCAAGTGCTTCAGCAGGCTGGAGGGATGGTCACCTCCAGGCATGAAGCCGCCAAGTGGTGAACGCGCACAAGGTGGCGCTGTGCAAGGCTCAGGTGCACAAGGTGAAGGTGCACAAGGTAACGCCTATCCTGGGATGTATCTCATGGTTGAGGATGTGCATGGGCATGAGGGTGATGTGGGATCTGTGGGAAAGGTTGTGATGCACCCTCTCACGCACTGGGTGATTGATTCAGGTTGCACCAGTCACATGACCTTTGGGGGTTTGGGAAATTTGTCACTCTACTGTAACAGCTGCAAATAGGTTGGGAACAACCAAGCTAGGTTGGCAAGGGTGGCCAACTTGGATGGATTGGTTGGGAAGGGACAAAGGTCAAAGTTGAGGTTCCTATAGGGAGGGAATCTTTGTGCTTATGGGGTTTCCTTGGTTGGGGACTCTCTTGGGACCTTCCCTCTCATCCCTCTCTTCCTATCCCAACCTTTCTCTTGCTCCTTCTAATTCCTTGTGAGATTCTTGAACTTTGATTGAACCTTTGAGATTGAGTTAAGTTCTCCTCCTACAGCTTACCCCCTAGTGCGTCGAAAGCCATAGCGTCGCGAATACTTTATCAATCAACATGATTCAAATTGGGAACGGTAGCTGAGATTAAGAGCTACAACATATCCAAGTTTCGCGACATTCCAACGGCTAGTTGTTTGTCGACGTCGTTTCTTGTGAAGACGACTTTTCTGTCCAGAATTTCGGATTTATATTTTGAGTAATTCTAGCTCCTAAGTTCACCTAGACTCTGTCCTTAATCCTAACAAGCCAGCGGAGCTCCTGTGCCGCCATGGCACCGGCGTAGATCTCAGCCTCACAGCTAGACTGGGCAACAAACGACGAGCGGGTGGACCTCCACAAGAGGGCACCTGAACCAAGGCTAATGCAGTAGCCCTGGGAGGACCTGAGCCTCTCAGCGTCATCTGCCCAAGAAGCGCCTGTGTGCCCAGTAAGGACCACTGGCGTGCGTCCTCCTAGAACTAGCCCCATGCCGGATGTACTAGCTAGATAACGCAAAACCCTGTTCGTGGCCGACTAGTGATGTGGTCGGTGTCTGCATGTGGCCATGAAGCGAGCCAGGATGCTGAGAGGGTATGCGAGATCTGGATGAGTGCAAGTCATCAGGTACCAACCCACCAGCTCTGCGTAAAGACCACTGGGTTCTACTGTTTCCTCACGAACTGGAGCAGAGAGCCTGTGGTTTACTGGTAGAGGTGTGGGCTGTGTAGAGGAGAACTAAAGACCGAACCTCTCGAAGGACCTGACGCACCAAGTGTGACTGTGTAAGAGTGATGGTGTGCGCTGCTCTGTCCCTAGAGATCTGCAGGCCAAGGTTGCAGCGTAGCTCTCCTTGGTCAGTGCAGGTGTGTCTCCTCAGCATCTCGGCCTTCACGGAGGCCAGTGCGTTTCTGTCTGCAGTAGCAAAGACCAGGGCATCTACGTAGACAAGGATGTAGAACGGGGTCTGGCCAGCACGAATGAAGAGCAAGGGATCTGCAAAGGACGGAAAGAACTGCAGATCTGCTAGCGTAGCACGCAGCGTATCGTGCCACTCACGGGGAGCCTATCGCATGCCGTAGACCGGGCACCGGAGGAGCCACTGGGTCCCAGGAGGGAAGGTACCGGTGAAGCCCTGTGGACGGCGCAGGTAGACGTGCTCCTGTAGGCTGCCCTGAAGAAAAGTAGTGGATAAGTCGAGGGAGTGAAGCTCGTAGTCACGCTGTGATGTTACGTGTAGCAGCGCCCAAAGACTAGTCATCTTCGGGGTCGGGGCGAAGGTCTGAAAGAAGTCCACCCCTTCATGCTGACTGAAGCCTTTACCAACATAGCGCGCCTTGAACACAGGCGGCTCTCTAGGAGGGCGCTTCACCTTAAAGAGCCACCGGCCATTGACTACGTTCACCCCAGGTGGGGGAACTGCGTCGACGTAGGTGCAGGTGGATCTCCAAGATGCCATCTCCTGCTCCATGGCAGCTATCCACTGAGAGGCCCAGGGTCCCGAGGTCGCCTTAGCGTAAGTGCAAGGGGTCAGGATGTCAAAGGCGTCTGGGTCACCCTCAGGGACTAGCAGTATGGAACAGAGATGGGGAGCAGCCTCGGACATGAAAGCAAGCTCGTACTGCCTATCCTTTAGGACGTCACTGCCAAGGGGAGGAGCACCCCCGACAGACGGAGGATGGATAGGGTCAGAGACCAGGGCGGTGGCGTAGTAAAGGCGGCGGGTAGAGGCGAAGTCAGCAACAGCAGCGACAAGAGCGTCAAGACCCGAGACAGGAATAGACAGGTCAGAAACGAGGGAGGCAAGAACCCGAGGAACAAGAGAATGAGCGGCACAAAGGTAGTCAGACAGAGAGGAAGGCGCGATCGCGAGCGACGACGGAGGAGGAGACGGGAGGAGGGGAGGACAAGATGCGTGGGAATGAAGCAACATAGGGTGAGAGTGCTAAACAGGAGAGACAGGATGAGCACGAGAGGAACGACGAGACCAGACGTGAGACGGAGGCGTCGGGTCATGAGACAGAGGAGGAGACACAAGGGGGGAAGGAGGTGGGAAACGGGCCAGGGACGATTTCGGCGGAGGAAACACTGGACCATGGACAGGAAGGGGAGGAGGCGGCGGGGGAGGTGCAGGCGAGCAGTTTGGGGAGGGAAGGCCGAGCAGGCAAAGGGCAGACACCGGCGGTGATTGCTGCTGCTGCTGCTTGACGTTGAGATCTGGACCGCCAGCTGCACCTCAGCTACCTCTGGAACACTCCAATCCAGCACCCCCTGTACGAGCACCCCCAGAACGAGCACCCCAAGAGCGAGAACCCTCTCTAGCACCGGTGCCATCCCCGAGCCCATCGGAACAAGCCACGATAGGAAGCCCAGGACGAGCACCTTCCTCAACACCAGCACCCCCAGAGTCCACGAACGGCTGCCGCTGCTGCGGCAGCAGCGGCTGCGGCAGCGGCGGCTGCTGCTATGGTTGCGACAACGGCTGTGGGGGCGACTGCGACGATGGAGAAGGGGACACCGGGGAAGAGGCAGGCGGCAAGAACGGCGCCGCGGGGCCACCAGAGTCAGCCGACTCCTCGACCGGGACAACCGACGGGAGGGGAGTGACGTGAGACACACCACATGGGGCAGGACGGGGAGGGAGGGGAGCAGGGGCTACCAAGGGAGTGGGAACCAAAAATAGGGGTGGGGCAACCGGGAGACCTCGGTGGGGAAAGGGACAATAAAAGGAGACAAACTCGTCGAATGGGACGTCATGCGAGTGAAGGAAGCGGTGAGACGATGGGTGGTAAAAGTGCCAGTGAGACGAGTCAAGGGGGAATCCAAGGAAGACACTGGGGACAGTGGGGGCAGTGAGCTTGTCCAT